ATTCCGTCTCCCTCCCCCACCCCCACCCCCCAAAAAAATGCAGCTTTCTTCTCCCCTGGATATTTTTCTTCTTTCTTTCTTTCTTTTTTTTTCTTATTTTTGAGATTGTTTGTATGTGTTTCCAAACATAGATGTAGCTAAAATTAAAGTCCTATCCCATTCTGAGTGGTGAATTTCACCCAACTGCCCTGTCCTCTTCACATAGTAAAGCAGGATGAACTCAGAGGGGCGTGCCATGCCCACTGCCCAGTTCTCAGGACTTCAGCTCCTCCTGCACAGGTCAACAATTCTCTAATCCTGCATACGCCCACCTGAAATCCTGTAAATCTCCTTAGGTAATGAGCACTGAAAACACCCCTCTTGTACAAGGTACAAATGATCCCTGCAGGTGCGCAGTGGCCATGGATACTCCTCCACAGGTGCTTCCACATCAAAGGGGCCAGCAGGTAAGCTGGCTGGGATCTGTGAGTCCATCTACCGGATTACAGCAGGGGTCAGCAATACCGGCAGGTGCACCTGTTCCCACAGCCATGGCCAAAGCAATGACCCTAGGACCTATCAAGTGTCTTTCCAGCATTGCACCGAGGTTAAGCCATTACTGACTACAGAAAACTGATTCACCAGCCCCCCCACAGATGAGTTTCTCACAACAGCCAGGGAGCTCTGATCCAGTGGAAGTCAGGCCTTGATTTTAAGTAGGTCCCTTACACAATGGTGCTGTGAATGGGTAAAAATCAGCATGTTAAGCCCCACAAACAAAGCTGAAGCTTTTTAAAATAAAGTATGAATAGCAAGTTATAGAAAAAATATTGTATTTGTTTAATTATTCCATAATACAGTTCCATAGGTCTCAAAGATTTCCCTTCTCCCTTCCCCAAAACCCCTCCCACCACTGATTTACACCAAATCGTTATAATAGTATAGTTCTTTACAATCAGTCTTAAGTCCAACATTCTGCTATTAAAGTCTATCTTGACATTGCAGCCATGGACAGTGACAGAGAGTCCAGCATCCTACTGTCAAGATGCATTGGATAGTTTCATTGAGAGTCCAACTTTGATATGTAAGGAGAGATGCACACAGCCTTATATCACCACATGTGGATGTGATAGTCTCTACTACGCAGTTACTAGGCATCGGCTTAAAGGAAAAGCCAAAAACCAAAATCAACAAGAGAAAAATAGAAAATCTACAACAACATGAAGTTAAATAACACACTGCTGAATGACCAATGTGTCACTGAAGAAATGAAAAAAAGAAAAATCAAAGAACTTCGTGAAGTAAACAATGCAATTGTGTGACCCAACAACTTTTTCTTGAATGAATGAAACTAAAAGCAAAGGAAGCCCTCTGAGATGTAGCAAAAACAGTATTGAGCTTCTATTTTGCAAGAAGGTCGCCTGATGTCAGAGAGAATATATGGTATTTGCCTCTTTGAGATCGACATTTCACTGAGCATAATGGTTTCCAGTTGAGACCAGTTGGTTGCAAATCGTAAAATTTCATTAATTTTAATGGCTGAACAGTATTCCACAGAGTAGATGGACCAGTTTCTTTATCCACCCCTCTTTTGATGGACATCTGGGTTGTTCCTATGTCTTTGCTACTGTAGATTGTACTGCTGCAAATATCAGATTATAAATTACTTTCTCATATGCAGATTTCATTTCTTTTGGCTACCTTCTCAGGAGTGAGATAGCTCAATCATATGACAGGTCACTTTTTCAGTTCTTTTAGCATTCTCCATACTGACTCACAGTGGCTGTACTAGCCTACACTGCCACCAACAGTGAAGGAGGGTGCCTGTCTTTGCACACCCATGCCAGTAGGTATTATTGGTAGAGTATGTCTGAGGTTTCTGTTATATTTCCTTTTTCATCTCTGATCCTATTGGTTCGTGTCCTCTCCCTCCATTTTTTTCATTAGTAGGGTCGGTGGGTTATCTATTGTGTTGATTTTGTCAAAGAACCAAATTTTTGATTCATTGATCTTACGTTTTGTTCTTTTAGTCTCTATTTGATTTATTTTTAAGGGTCTTTTCCTTATGCTTAACTGTAGAAAGCTTGATTATACTGTGTCATTTTCGAAGATCACTTCATTCCAAACCTTTTAGGAGTTCTGTGCCCTCCTGTATGCTGTTTCCCAATTCTTTCCTCATGTTAGGAAAGTTTTTATTTATTATTTCTTTTGTGTGTGTGTGTTTGATTTATTTTATTTCTTTTTTTTTTTTAGATTTATTTATTTTTATTACAAAGTCGGATATACAGAGAGGAGGAGAGACAGAGAGGAAGATCTTCTGTCCAATGAGTCACTCCCCAAGTGAGCGCAATGGCCGGTTCTGTGCCGATCCGAAGCTGGGAACCAGGAGCGTCTTCTGGGTCTCCCACACGGGTACAGGGTCCCAAGGCTTTGGGTCGTCCTCGACTGCTTTCCCAGGCCACCAGCAGGGAGCTGGATGGGAAGTGGAGCAGCCGGTATTAGAACCGGTGCCCATATGGGATCCAGGAATGTTCAAGGAGAGGACTTTAGCCGCTAGGCTACGCTGCCGGGCCCTTTATTTATTATTTCATTGACTACATCTTTAAACCCAGCTTCTCTTTCTGTGCCTTCTAGAACTTTCATAACTTTTACATTCAGTCTTAATATATATAACTCTTACCTTTTGAATACTTTTGTGAAATTTGAGTCGGATCCATTCCCAGCTTTTTAATTTTTTCCCATTTTGGCAAGAAATATCTAAGTCTGAGATTTTTCTTCTGCATCTTTCATTCTGTTATTGAGGCTTCCCACAATTTTTAATTTGCTCCTTTGCTCTCTTCATTTCTAACATATCAGCTTTCATTTGAATCATTGCCGTTATTTCCTGTATAACATATTCTTTACTTTCCTTGAACTCCTGTATGTGATCTCATTGTTGATAAGAATCTTTATAACAAGTTTTCACACTCTTTATCCTGCATTTTCTTGATGTCTTCCTCAAGTAACTCTGAGTTGTACAAAAACTTTTGTGCCTTTGAAGGAGCGGCAGTCCTCATTGTGCCACTGTCTCTTCTTTTGCTCTTGGTCATTGAACTTCTGGTTATCAGATTCCTCTCCTTAGGGGTGGTTTTTAGGCTATTGCCTACTGGGCTAATGGATGGTTTTATTCATTGTATTTGGTACCCAGTTCTGCATTGGCAATCACTTATACAACTCCTTCCAGAAAACAAGAGCCCTGGATCACCACTCCCTACCTCTGTGATCCCTTTGCTGTGGTCACACCCCAGTCTGCACAGGCTTTCTCTCTCTCCTGGCTTGAGCAATGCCCAAGACCTGGGCTCCACAAGCTGTCCTAAATCACTATATTCTGGTCTTTCCAGTACCTGCTGTTTTTTAAGTCTGAGGGCCACCCAGACCTGTTTCGCTTGCAACCCATAGGATGGCACGTCAGTAATGATCTCCCTGTGGAATCAATCAATGCAACACATTAGCCAGAATTTATTTCGCTCCTGGCTTAGTGGTTACACAACTCAGTATTGTCCCCCTGGCCCTGCAGCCTTTACCATCATACACAAAATGGTTGCCGATATGGCACTGGTGGGGGTTGGGCCATGAAATCCAGCCTGCTCCTGCACTGCTGCTTGGGGTCTGCCACTCCAACTCTGCTCGTGGTCAAAGACAAATGAGCAGGATGGACAATTCTTTGCCTTGGTTCTCCTCCTGATCTCCTGGTGAACTCCCCTGCCCACATGGTCGTTGGCAGAGCTCTGATGACTGACTGCCTACAGCTGTCCGCCACTACAGTATCTAGACACTGCAACACTGCTCTGTTGTCTCTGCTGCTTTCCCATGTTCATGGCTCTCCAGGTGCTCCTCTGCCATCAGCCTGTCCTCCCCTGTTTCCAGAACTCTCTCCTCTCTGCTTCACCCTAGCTAACTCTTCTGTCGGTTTAACCCTGTCCTCACACTACACTGCCCTCTTACTCAAGAAAAAAATATTTTAAATAACACAGGATAAATCTTGGTGCAACTTTAGGAAATAAAAGCAGTGAGTTCAACAGATGTGCAAGACAACAATGCAGTGTGTCCTCAGACATTTTATAATAATAAAATTACAAGTCACCCAGTGATTTAAATTAAGCAAGCCAACCCAAATGAACATACTTCATTTGTAACTGTCAATTAACGGAAAATGGAATTGTAAATAAGCACAAAGCAGAATTCCATTGTGTTTTTCAATCTCTCGCTTTTATTCTATCACGTCATGTATCAGTATAAACCTGGGACTACAGATAGGTTTTATATATAAAATAAGTGAATTAGAAAAAGAATAAAAACGGAAAGGACTCTTGGAAAACAGGCTTAAGAAGGCTTGTGAAGACACAACTGGATTCATTGAGAGTTATTTGATCATTTACTGATAGGCACTGCAAGCAGAGGAAGAAGTGACTATACCTGCAGCACATTAGCTCCTCCTTGTGATTCCATAGTGACTCCCCAGTGCTGGGAAACAGGCAGCCATGAGAGGGTGGTGTGGGCCAGAGCCAAGCTGAGCCATCAGGCAGATCAATGGAATTCACCACCTGGGCTTTCGTTGGCTCCTTCCTCCACCACCTCCACCAATTGTTAGGTGCTTAGCTGTAGCCTGATCCCTAACACACCTCAGGCAGGACCTTTAAGTAGGGAGGGAAGGAACAGGATGTGTACAAGGAATGCCCTGCAGGTTTCCTCTGCAGGAGACTCACTCCCAGGCTCCACAACTCCGAGAAACTGCAAAGGGAACATCTAAGGAAACAGCCACCAAAGCTCAACAGCCCAGATCCTGAGACACCCCTCCCCTGGACTTTTGTGAGTATGGCTGGAGGGCCCCACCCAGTTTCCAGTTCAACTTCTTTCCATGAGAGCAGACAGCAGGGGCATAAAGAGAAGAGTGGCCAGTTTCTCCAGTACAGATACAGGAAGAAGAGAAAATTATGTCTCTGCCTGTTGGTCCCAAGGGTGCTTTATTACTTTGCTGAGGGGTGACTCTGTCAGCAAGAAAGAACTTGAATTTGTCATGGTCCTTCCCATGCTACAGATTTGAGACACACTGGCTAATTTCCATGTGTCTGCCCCAAGACAGGGCTGGGGTCTCCTAGTGGAGCCAGTCCAATTCTTTGGCTGACAGTGTCATTGCTGAACTAGCTTTCACAACCTGTTCACAGAAAGTGGTTTTGAAAGAAATGAAGAGCAAGCTGGCAAGATTCTGAGGTTACAGGTAAGGTAAAATTGCAAAGCATGGGGATGGGGGTGGGAGGATGGGAGGACTGGAGAGCTGACCAACCATTCACCAGTCCTTTGGCGGTAAAAAGGATTCCCTCTTCTTAGCTCACGATCCTCAGAAAGGCTCAGCCTGCACAATTGCAGACTTGGCATCTAACAGCCTGGATACCCAGGCAGCTCCTGCAAATCTCTCCCAGGGTGTGGTAGTGTAATGGGTCCCAGACACGTAGAGCCTGCCTTCTCAGGACATGACAGTGCCATAGGAGAGACAAGATGCTCTTCTAGAAATAGCTGGATCTCCAAAGCTCTCTGAAAGCTTCACCTTGCATCCTGGGGTCAATGACTGAAAGCTTCCTCAGGTGCTAAAGACTCTTAGGAATGAACCCGGATGCTGGGCACACACCAGTTAGAGGACTTGCCTGTGCCCTTTCACTGTCTGTAGGCTCCACTGGAATGAGCACAGCGGACCTGAGCTGTCCTCCTCCTCCACCCCCACTCCTGTGGGCACTGCTAGTGAGCACACAGGTGCTTATGTGCCAGGAACCTTCTTGAGACCATCCTACAGGCCACTGCACTCGTGTTGGCTTCTGAGCCCTTCACCCCGCCTGAGAGCCTGGCATAAGTGCATGAGGACATCATTAACCAATGAATTGGGGAGCAGCACAAATCCCTGTCTCAAGGGTACATGGGAGAACTGGCCATGTATCAATTTCATTTTCTCATGGGGAAGTCTGCAGACCAGAATGGAATCTGTAAGTAACAGTATTACAGAGAGCCAAAGAGGTCACAGCAGACACAAGGGTGGGGTGTAAGGAGCAGAAGCCAAGCTTGGCAACAGCAGCTATCACTGTATCTGAGAAACCACGGCCAAAGACGGGGGTTTTTAAGCTCCCATTGGCATACAACAAACAGGGATCCATAGAGTCAGCCGACCACATCCTAGTGGGCAGGCAACACAAATCACCCAGTTACCTTAGATGGTGCACATTACAGATCATCCAAACCATTAAGTGGCACACAACATGGAGTATCCAATTGACTGAAGTTCAGACGACACTTTAAGCCAAGCAGCTGGCAAGCATGTCTACAGAAGCAGGTAGCTGTGGTTAGCTATGGTTGAAATTTAGCCAAGGAACCAAAATGAAGTCCTATCTGCCCACTGCTATGGGGCGCTACCCCCTGACTGCACCCCGTCTCATTAGTAGTGGCCATGTGAAGGTGTTAGAGCTGGGCTGAGTCCTTTTGGCTTCAGGGGTGGACAAGCAAGTTTAAAGTCACTCAATGTTAACGGAAATCGAGTGCCTGCCAGCTGGAGGAACTGAGCTGTGCAGATGTGGTTCATGTGATGAAAAGTGTAACTGGCTGACTCAGAGACTCCCAAAGCTTGCTTTGGTGTCCTGGTTTCCCAGCCACTGAAGTCACTGAGGTTGTCACTAATCTTACGGCTTAGATTATCTCTTGCTCTAAGAAAGTTGTTGTTTCAGGAAAATGCTTTTGTTTGTTTGCTTGTTTGAACTCAGTGTAAGAACTTAAAGTATTCAGGGAGGTACTTTGTGCCAACTTACAAAATAGATAAGTTTTATATTCAAGGCCAAAAATAATAGATTCAGGAATTTAACGATTTTGATAACAAAAGACAAGGTTATCTGAAAATCCTCCCAAGATAAACACTGTAAAATCCAAGAAACAATCAACGAAGTGTTTCTTTGTTTTTTTTTTTTTTTTTTTTTGGTTTTTGTTTTTTAATAGGGAGCCAAGCACTAGGAGAGAAAGGGGCACGCAGGGGGCTTAGAGAAGGGACTGCCTGGGGACAGCCACTAGGAATGGTCTGTGGATGCAGGTGGGTGAGGTGTCTCACGTCCCCCATTTGATCCACTTAATCCGCTTCATGGAAAAGTTAGAAAGTTGATGCACAGGCCCTGGCAACGAGGAAACTTGGACCTGAAAGACGCTATTCACAAACATTCTCTGGACTCTGGAGAAATGCAACCGCCCCCACCCCAGGGAGTGGCCAAGCAGGTGGGTGGGGTATTCCCCGGAGAAACACAGCTTCCTCCCCAGGCACCAAGCCTGGAAGGTGGGACAGATCCAAGCACACAGCTTGCTTGGCCCAGCCACTGAGGCAATAAGTTAACTTCAAAATAAAACAACTTAACAATGCCGTGATCCACGTGACCAGGGTCTATCCAAAACCTCTCCGGAGGGATGAGCCCCCACCTGAATATGCACTCATTGTCCAGAATTAAAATTGATATTAAAAAAAAATTAAAATTGACATGGAATAAGAAAGTTAGCTGAACTGCGTGTCATAAGCCATGAGACCTCACCCCAGGTAATTCCTAATCTACTAGTCTATTAGAACACCCTCTTTCCCAGGATGCTTTCTGTCATCCAGAACTTGGGGAAAAGTCTTCAAGTAATTATGTGTATCAAGCTCCAAAATGGAGTTATGTGCAAGTTCATGGTGCTCCTGGGGGACCTCATTATCTCTATGGGAGGTACTGGCATCTTGCTGTTCCGTTCCCACCCATGCTTAACTACTCCACTTCTTAATTATGCCCATACAGATGTATACTTACTTTCTCACCTTTTGAACAAACAATCAGTTTGTGCACCATACCCATGCCTGTGCCATGCTTCTCTAAGCAGAAAGCAAGGGCCTGAATAGGAATTAGACCCCATTACGTTATAAATTGTTACTGATGTAATGTCGGGGCTTTTAATTGATTGGGATGATACTCTGCCGGCTCTACCTTCAGACCAGAGACAGTCTCCCCAAGAAAAACCCTTGAACTTATCTGGACAATAAGATGCTGGACTTCATGCTTTGTAGATGCTTGCAATGAAAGAAGCTCAATGGAATTTGAACTGTGGTGATGCAACAAGGTGGAAGAATCCACCATGGGGGGTCGGGTTTTGGGGAGGGAAGGGGAGAGTCCCAGTACCTATAAAACTGTGTTACATAATGCAATGTAATCAATAAAAAAAAAAAGGAATTAGACCCCACTAACCCCAATACAAAACCCTACTCAGGAGACACACTCAGAAAGAGCAAAGAGCATACTAAGAACTCCTGGCACATCAGGTCATGGAGTGTGATTATATAGCCATTTGTGCTTTTATCTTAAAACATAGCAATGCATATAACAAAATAGAATGTAATTGTAGAGTAGTATATTTTCTCAGCACACTAACAGCTCCAGAATGAGCTGGAAAAGATGAAAACAACTTAAGAAGATTCATGGGAAAATGGAGGTAAAAAAAAAAGTCTTTGTTGTGAAATATTTTTGAGATCCAAAATAGATAACTTCAGACTTTTTTTTTAAGATCTCACATATGCCAGGGTCTCAAGATCTTTGCAGCAAAATGATCTTCTTTTAATTCAATTGTCCATGAACTTTTCAAAGTACCACTGAACTGACAACAAGTGCAAGCTCCCCCAGGCAATGGCAAGGTTCTCATTCTGACAGCCACGGGAAATGACAAGTCTCATAAGGAGAGAAATGGCTGGTCAGCTTTTGGACTCTCTGGCACCTGAATCTAAATGGCCCTGGCTAGGTAGAGGCCATCTGCTATAAGGTTTCCCCTTGAACAAGGATATTCATCTGCCTAACAAACAAACTAAAGGCCTTGCTGAGGACAGACGAATCCATCTCCATAATACAGATGGGGGATTGTTCACCACAAGGAGGAGAGTCTGACCTTGGCAGGTCCAGTCTGTGTAGCATCCCTCTGGCTTCCCCTGCATCCTGCTCCTTAACCTTTGGGAGTCTCCCAGGTACTTGGGGGTTCCACGGTTCTCCGTGGCTTTCCGTGCAGTTCTTTACCCAACTGTCCTGTCAATGCAGATAAGGGAAGGTTTGCTGTCAGATCATTTACTGAAAATACTGTCAAAGCTTTTGAGGGAGGAGGGTTGCTCAAAGCTGCCCCCGCCCCCGAAAGCTCCATGGGATCTCTGCAGTGCAAATCTGTGAGTTCACAGAAGACTTTGTCCTCTCCCCGCCGCCCCGGATCCTGCCAAGTCCTGCTCAACCTGGCCTGTTTCCTTAATGTGAGACCTGGGATTTGGGTTTTCTTCCTGGGTTCACTGTTTTTGTCAGTTTCCCACAGCTATTATAGCAAATAACCACAAGAGTTGTGACTTTGAACAACACATTGTACTATGTAGCAGTTGTAAAGCTAGCATGTTCTAAAATCAGGACATTGTTGAATCTGTTTTCCTTCTCTAGGTCCCATAAAAGAACTCATTTTTGTGCCTTTTCTGTTCCGGGCAGCTGGGCCGGTAGCATGGACACGGCGAGGGTCAAGGAATCAGACACCGACAGGAGACCAGTAGTGGTGGAAGAGGTCTCTCTCTGCCTCCCTTTATTCAGCCATATATACCTTTCCCCCAAGCCTCTAGCAGAACAATCAGATGCTAATGAGTCTGACAGACAAGGTGCCACTAGCCTCCAAGCCATTTCCTGCAGGAGCCAAGCTTAACAAATGCTAATCAACTCCTCAGCGCACAACACTTTTCCAGTTCCTAGAGGCCACCTACATTCTTTGGCTTGTGGCTTCTTCTCCCATCTAGGGCTCTCTCTCTCTCTCTCTCCCACCTGTACTTACTTCTTCACAGCTCCTTCTCGTACTGTAATACACTGTCATCTTCTCGGGAGAACCTTGTGATTATCCTGAGCCTGTCACATAACTCAAGCTGATCTCCGCATTCCTAAATCCTCAGCAAAGCCCCTTATACTGAAAAGCTGCTATAGCCAAGATTAGGACCTGTACAACTTCAGGGGTCATCATTGCACCTGCCACCCCATTCAGTGCAGTGGTGTGGGATTTGCAGGGGAGTCAGTGCACGGGGCCAATGTGAAGCACATCACCTCAGGGCGTGCTCGTTTCCTGTGACAGTCCCTTGCACCACATTCCCCCCTCACCCAGTGTGGCAGTGAGCTAGCAGGATGCTTGCACAAGTTACACTGGTAACACTTTGAAGTCATCATCCCT